TGTGCTTGGAGCGTTTGACGACAGGAAGTACACAGTTTCTACCTCCCACCGATAGAGATAGATGTGCAGTAGGCTTGTGGTTTCGGCATTTTATGGCTATAGCGATATATGCGAGACGCTGCCTACCTGCATCTGCGTCATGAAAGTGTCCATAAACAATTTGTATGTCAAATGCAAGTGTTGTTAAACATATATACTCTTTTTGGTTTGAAAATGTTTGGTTAAGTAGCTAGAATTCAATAATTTGTTGTTTGTAGGTTTTAGATATGTAGAAAGTGTTGTTGATTCAATGTTTGGTTTCTGCAGGTTAATCCTGAAGTGAGCTGCGTGAAATGGATGTATGTGTGCAAAAGTTGATTCAATAATTGATGAGGATATAATTCTTATTATTATTTTTTGATTGTTTAATTGATTTGTAAAAGATGATTTGTAAATGTTGATTTGTTTAATTGATGTGTACATAATTATTATTTGTACTTGTTTAATTGATTGAAATGTAATAGTTGATTTGTTGATTTCAATCTGCATTATGTTGAATGCAAAACAGACTATCGCAACGCGGAAATGACTATCGCAACGAGAGAATCGCAATGTGAAATGAAAATCGCAACGAGAGAATCGCAATGCGAAAATGAAAATCGCAACGCGAAACTAAATTCTCGTTGCGATTTTCATTTTCGCATTGCGATTCACTCGTTGCGATTTTCATTTCGCATTGCGATTCTCTCGTTGCAATAGTCATTTCCACGTTGCAATAGTCAATTTCGCGTTGCGATAGTCATTTCCGTGTTGCGATAGTCATATTCGCGTTGCGATTTCCGTGTTTCGATAGTCAAATGAATGTCTAATAAGTGATAACAACTGAACATATCATAGCAATGTTCAAACTCAAGTTACTAATACATGCATAACTGAAAATATTAAAAGTTCACACATAATATACACATAATACAACATTTGCATTTAAAAATCACCTAAGTTAACAGTCCCAAAAGGTGAAGCCGGTTGTGATTGGGATTTTGATGAGGATCCATATTTTGGTAGAGGAAAAGATGATTGTGATGGCACTGGTGATCCACATGTCAACCTTGTATGACCACTTTCCTTGCACCGACTACATGTCGATCTCTTCTTATCTTCACCCTTAGACGGTATACGATCGTGACTTTTTGGTCGGCCAGGTAGCCTTCTGTCCATGGCTGGTGGCAAAACTGTTTGTAAGTCATCTGGTATGTCCCACTCAGAATGATGTGGAATAGGGTAGACAATCTCGACATAAGTCTGTCGATATACTTCTGTAGTGTAGCAATCCATAGCGTATGCGCTTGAATCATCTTGGTTTAGATGAAGAGCAACTTTTATAACATGGCCACACGGATTACCAGATGTTTGCCATTTCATACAACTACACGTCTTTGCATTTAGATCGACAAGCCCATTTAAGTTATTATCCAGTACTTCAAACAAAGTGTTTGAACATGGTTCAACTCTCCATGACGTTGGCTTCACAACACGTTTCGTTATCTTTTTTTCAGTCCATGGTGTAACACGATGTTCCAATGTTTCTATAAATTTAAATAAATAATACTTAGTAAAATATATGATAAGTTACGAATTTAAAGAAATAATACATGCATGGTTTCTTTTCTTGTAGTACCATTGTTGAATAGAGGCTCGAAAAAACTCCATTAACATAGTAATGGGTAATTTCCGGGAATGAAGACTTAGAGCGTTGATTGATTCTGCACTATTAGACGTCATGAAACCATATCTTGCTCCAAGTTGATGTACTCTTGACCATCTTTCAAACCCGACATCTTCTAGTGTTTGAGCACACTGAGGCAAAACACGTCTTAAACAGTTTATATGCTTATTAAAATCCACTTCCCGATAAGCTTTTACAGCCTTACAGTATGTCCATTTGTGATTTTTTATACCAGCAGGCCTTGATTTTAGATTTCTATACAAATGAACACCACAAAGTCCATGAAAAGCATCTGGGAAACACCTTCTAACAGCGTTGTCAATTGAGTTTGCCCTATCGGATATGATTTTTAGATTGCTAATAGGACCTATACAATCCCTAAGATGCCCCATAAACCATGTCCATGAATCAGAGGTTTCAGATTTGCCAACCCCGTAAGCTATTGGCAGTATCCCATTGTTAGCATCCATGGCTACTGCTAATAAGTTTACTCCAAGGTATCGACCTTTTAAATATGCTCCGTCAACTATAATAACTGGGCGCATGCAAGTAATAAACGAACGAATCTACAAAATCATATACACAAGAAATATAATCATTTAAATGTGAAATGCATGTAACTAACAAAAATGAGTCAACAAAATTATATTGAGTTACTAACCGCAGCACCAATGGCGATAAACAGCAACTCAAAGCGTCCATCTCTATCTGTTTTGATATGAGTTACCGACCCAGGATTTTTCATCTTTAAATTGTGACAATAAGCCGGCAGTTGGGCAAACGATGCTTCTGGCGACCCCCTCAACAATTCCAAGGCATAACATTTGGCTCTCCAAGCTTGAGAATATGAGATACTAATCTTGAACCGAGCATTCATGTCAGTCATAATTTCATGTCTCCGATATACCCTGCCATTCAAAAACATTAACTCAGCCAGAAAACCACCCAACACCTTTTTGTTTGCCTGTCTATGGTGAGGAAAAACTTGGGTTCTTGAACTTGTATGTTTATCAATAAAAGTCCTAACTTGAAACATTTCGCAATCTTTTATCCTCTTTGCAATCATACGCCACGTACAGTTTTTGTCAATCATACACCTTGTTTCGAAACGATCTTTGCTTGATTTGTTAACTTTTAGTTGATAGCCATCTTCCACACTTTTCGTATACAAAGCTATCTTCAAGTCTTCCTTTGTATCAAAACAATCATCTTTCTTGATACGAATAATTTTTGTGTAACAATCAACTGCTATCTTTACCAACTCTTCTTCTGGTATCTGAAGTAATTCTGGCATATTCCAGTTATACTCCCGTGGCATTTTCTTCGGGGACTTTTCTTTGGGGATTTCTTCTTCTTCTTCTTCTTCTTCAGGGTTATATGAATTACAGAATGGATGTTCAACATGTTCATTTACAGTCGTAACTTCCTCCTCATTATCATCAACAACATTTTCCTCGACAACGCCTGTTTCATCATCAAAATTCGGGTATTGACCAATATCAAAATCATTACACGCAGGGTCTGTTTCTTCTTCTAAAAAATCATCAAAATCCGAGTATTGACCAAGATCAAAGTCCGGGTATTGACCAAGATCAAATTTCGAATACTGACTAGTACTCACAATTTTTTCTGTTGGCTCATCATCGTCTAACTGGTCAATACGAAAACCGGAATTTGGTGCTGAAAGTTGATTGGGATTTAGATTAGGGAAAGGTTGTGGGTTTTGAGATTGTGTTTGGTATTGGAAATGTGGTGAAACAATATTTGCTTGGTGATGAAATTGTGGTGGAACCATTAAATTTTGAGCACCATAAACTGGGGTTGAAAAACTTAGTTGATTACTACCCGCTACTGACCCAACTTCACTACTTCTAGGTTCAGCAACATACAATGTAACATCATCACTTGAAACACTAATGTAAGCAATGAATCGTTCAACATCTTCATTGTCGGTTAACAAATAAACTTTACCATTTCTCTGATAAGATAGCCTAAATCCACTTAGGGGCTCTAAATTCAATTTATTTGCAACACGTAACATTAGAGTTTCATAAGTTAACTTTTTTAATGACAGTTTTAGTTGAAGATTCATGGGTAAAGGCATATATTGTAAAACACCATGAACATTCTCTCATGACCCTCCTAAACACAAATTTATCCAAACATGATCAACATTAGATGATTTCATTATTGTAAATTAATTTACTAAACAAACGAGCTGCGAAACTAAAACCTGTTGCCGAATGGGAAAGGATGTCGTTGGATATAGGAACGGATGTCGCCGGAGAGAGTGATAGATGAAGATGGAATGAGTTGCGATTTAGGGATTTAGGTTATGAGTTGATGCTGCTGCGTAGTTATATACCCAAAACATTTGTATTGCGAAACTAAAACCTGTTGCGAATTCAGAAATCGAGTTGCGAATTTGAAATTCAGTATTGCGATAGTCAGAATCTCGTTGCGATAGTCAGATTCGCGTTGCGATTTACGTATTAGCATTGCGATTTACGTATTCGCATTGCGATTTACGTATTCACAACGCGATAGTTAGAATCGCGTTCCGAATCTGGAAACTGATTTGTGATACCGGAGATCGCGTTGCGAATTATCGATCGCATTGCGATTTAGTTGGTCATTTTGACAAATCCAAAAAAAGTTGGTTAAAATTGTATATTATAAGGCATTTTTGGCCACTGAAGTTATTTTCTCTAAAGTAATTATCAGCCATTGTAGCACTGTCCCATCCTTGCAACAAGTTGCCAATAGTTGCAGTAAGAGCTACAAGCACAGCTCCAATCATTTTGGCAGAACAAAATTTCCAATCCTCTCAATAAATAAACCCTGAAAATTAAACAAAACAATCCACATCGTGAATCAAAATGTGTACCATGAAAACCAACATGGAAACAAACAAAATGTAAAAGGCAATAAAAACCCAAATGTCCAGATCCAGTATGAAACAAAACGTGAGGATAATTTCACCTATGAAAGCACAGAGGTGTGGAATCACAGAGATAAAGAAATGGCCAAATGAGCAATCATTTTATTTACTTTACACAATTACCATAAACAATGATATGCCAATTGAGGCGATCCCATTAACCCTTTTGCAACCTTCACGTACTCCAATGCAGATTTTAATCACTCTGTAAAGGAAAATGGTGTGGCATTCCACTCTTTGGTCTAGTTAAAATGGCGATAAAACAGAAATAGCCATCAACCAAAAATGCAAAATTAGCTGTCCAGTCCTTTCAAGTTTCTTGCTTTGTTGGAAGAGAATTGTGGGTATGATTGCATGGCTCCAAGAAGAACGCCGCCATCCGGATCATCCGGGTATTTTCTATTTTCAACTTTTATGTAACTTGACCACGTATAAGCTGTCCCATTCCTTGGATTGGATTTACAATTTTGTATTTGGAGCAAACTATATTAAAGGTCACTAAATTCTGTTGCTATGATTTTTTCAGTCATCAAGTTTCAAAAGTTATAAAACAATCAATTAAAAATATTACAAAACAATTATTTATTTTATATTCTTGTTCTAACCTCACACTAAGTTTTTAACTCTGTCCTTGGTGTTTATGAATAGTCCATCAAAACAGGCACGCGTTGACTGTTTTCTTAGTTTCTTACAATCTGCTTAGGAATTCTGGGTTTCAATACATTACATTTACATATATATGCCTGACCAAGTCTATGAATAAAATTATAATTAATAATTAAAAAAATGCAATCATTGTTCATGTGCATCTCTCATTTTATTTAATTCTATTCCACTGTTAGATTCTATCTAAATCCATGTTCTAAGATCCCATTTATCCAATAAGACTTCTTGTTAAAAGGAACTTCAAAATTATTATTATTATATTAAAAATAAATAAACAAAGTTTGCATCTTCTTAACTATGGATAGACCAGAGGCATGTTTGAGATGTTCAGTGATCACTCTATTTTAAAAATTCAAATGATCATATAATTTAAATATTTTATTTATATTTTTATTAATAATCTAATTTTTATCTTTAAAATTTTACATCCCGTAATTTTTTAATATAACTTTTTACCGATTTGTGCCACAAAATATTGTTTTGCAGAGATAAAAATTAAATTATAAATTCTACAGGGCGTTAACTTATAAATTTATAATATTTTTTTCCATCTGGGATCAAAATGCTAGTTTGTAATCTCTCAGGATCTTGAACTACAATTTCACCATTTTGATGGGCATATGCCTGTTTTAAATGTGTTTCATGTTTGATCTGTTTTAATATTTGACTTTCTTCACTGTCTTTCCGTTTGTTCGTCTGATGGATTAGAGAAAATTATTTGGGAGCTCAGCAGAACAAAACCTATAGTACTTTTCTCCCAAAGTATAGCGAAGGGATTCCAATAGTTCTTCCTCCACCAGAGATCCTTGAAGGTAGAATTTCATAATGGGAATTATCTCTTGTTGGGCAATTTCTTGGAGCAGCACCTAACTTCGCCTCTTTACAGAGGATTGTTGACAATCTATGGAACAAAGCTCTACTGGGTTCGCGAGTTCAAGTAAGTTCAGCTGGAAACAATCTTTTCATTTTCTCCTTTAACACAGTTTCTACTAGAGATTGGGTGTTAGAGAACGATCCATGGCACATACAAAACAAGCCACTGATTCTTAGGAAATGGGAACCAAATATGAAAAGACTTAGCTTCAATTTGTCTAAAATACCAGTTTGGGTTCATCTTTACAATGTTCCTCTTGAACTCTTTTCCCGAACTGATTTAAGTTATATTGTAAGCGCCATAGGAGTTCCACTTTCAATGGATTCCGTTACAACTTCAAAATCCAGACTCGAGTATGCCAAAATCTGTATCGAAATTAGGTTTAACGATGAAATTCCAAAATACATAGATGTTGTCTTGAAAGAAGGTCATTCTACTTCGATCCAAGTGGAAATTCCTTGGCTTCCACCTTCCTGTAAGAATTACAAAGTTTTTGGTCATACTGACAAGGGATGTTTGCAGAAACCGAATTCAGCTCCACCTGTTATTCAAGTCTGGAAAAAGAAGGGTGAAACAAAATCTAATATTGGTTCCTCAACAACATGAGGTATTGAGATCCTACATAAACCTCAAAATTTTGAATCTAAGGCTACTGAAGATCAAAATCATATTGTTGTTGTTGAAGAAATTGAACCTGATCACTATAAGATTATGTCAGTCCCTAAAGATAAAGTTGATCAAATTGAACAAAATGCATCCGATCCTATAATCACTGATCCTAAAGACCTAGTTGATGAGAAATAACATCCTTCAAATGATTTTACCAAACCTATTTAAGATGGAAAAAAAACACCCAAATAGCTATACAAAATCGGGGTAGAGGTAAGCCTGCTAAGGACATTTCTAAATCATCATTAGCAAGATCTAAAAACAGGTTTAACGTGCTCAACTCAGTTGAAGAAAATCCTCAAAGTTCAGATAGACAATCAAGGAAGATTTGAACTGCTTCATTGGGGGTTACAAGTTTGGTAAATGAGCTAAAATCGAAGAAGAATGAACATTTAGACAAAACTAAAAGTATCTCAGTAGAGGGTAATGGGGGTATCGAGGGATCCTCCTCTAAATGATAATTAGCTTTTGGAATGTTAGAGGTCTCAATAGACCTCTAAAATAAGAAAAGGTTCTTCAAAGAGCTAACCACTACAAAGTTGATATTTTATGTTTAATGGAGACTAGAGTCAAATCCGATAAGTCAGAGGTTATTCTCAAGTCAAAGTTTGCTAATTGGAATGTTTGTACAAATTATGATTATGCTTCAAATGGGAGGATTTGGGTGCTATGGAAGAAATGAATTGATTTTTCTATCATCTAAGTTAATGATCAGAGTATTACTGTCAAAGGTTCCTATATTGATACTCCTCTATTCATCTCGACTATTTATGGAAGCAATGAAGGCACAGTTAGAAGACAGTTATGGAACCAGCTTCATGATATGGAAAGAAATATTCGGCATTCCCCTTGGATATTAAGAGGGGACTATAATATTATTCTTCACTCTTATGAAAGTTCGGGTCATGATTTAATTGGCCTTTACCTTACTTCTGATATGAGAGATTTCCAAGACATCACTCAAGAGTTTGACCTTCAAGATCATCCTTATTTTGGGCCTTCATTCACATGAAGCAACAAACAGCAGGAAACTTTTCTGGCAAGGAAACTTGATAGGGTCTTGATAAATCCCTATTGGTTTAGTTCATTTCATCAATCATTTGTTGAATTCACTACTCCAGGCGTCTCTGATCATTGCATGGCCATTGTTTGGCTCTCCGAGGAGATTCCATGTAATAAACCTAAGCCATTTAAATTCTTCAACTTTTGGACCCTTCACCCAAGCTTCATGAACGAGGTTAAGCAATCATGGCAAGGTTCTGTTCAAGGTAACCCAATGAGAAATCTCTTTATTAAATTAAAGAGACTCAAATTATGCCTAAAGAACTTAAATAAAGATAACTTCAGTGATCTCTCGGCTCGAGTAAGACAAAAGAGAAGTGAGTTGGAGGTTCAACAACTTCTTACTTTAAAAGGAGAGGATGTTATTGAAAAGGAGTAAATCTTACAATCTGAGCTAAACACTCTTGAAGATGAAGAGGTAATGTTTCTCAAACAAAAAGCCAAAGTACCGTGGCTTAAGGAATGAGATAAATGTTCTAAATTCTTCCACTCGCATGTTGCAATTAAGAATAAAAGAGATTCCATTCGAGTTCTTGTAAATGATCAAGGTAATAGACTTGAAACATTTGATGAAATGGTAGCTGAAGTAACTGATTTCGTCTCCAACCTGCTCAGTAATACTGATCCTAGGGTCAGAGATACCAATCCTCTTATTCTGAAAGATTTGATTCAATACTCTTTTCCTGCAGAAGCATCTTCTAGTCTTGTCAAGGAAGTAACCAAAGAAGAGATCAAGGAAGCCATTTTTAGCCAAGGAAATGATAAAGCTCCTGGTCCTGACGGCTTCACTCCCTATTTTTCAAGAAAACATGGCATATTATTTGTAATGAAGTGGTGACAGTTGTCCAATATTTTTTTCCTCAATTCTCACCTATTGTCTGCTTTTAATGTTACTATCCTATCTTTGGTTCCTAAAGTTACAAACCCAAAATCAGTCAAAGACTTTCGACCAATTTCTTGTTGCTAAGTGATTTACAAGAAAATTACCAAGATTCTGGTTACAAGATTGACTAATTTCCTTCCTGACATGATATCACTGAACCATACAGCTTTTATTAAAGGAATGAGCATAGTCGAAAATACTTTCCTTGCCCAAGAAATGGTAAAAGGCTATGGAAGGAAAAATATCTCCCCAAGATGCTCCTTGAAAATAGACCTCCACAAGGCATTTGATTCCCTTCACTGGGGGTTCATCTTATCTATTCTTAAAGCTCTTGATTTTCCTATGAGTTTCATTGGTTGGATTGAAGCTTTTTTTACTCAAGCTAAGTACTCAATTTTGTTTAATGGAAGTCTTATTGGCTATTTCAAGGGAGCTAGAGCAATAAGACAGGGCGACCCTCTTTCACCTTCCTTATTTATCCTTACCATGAATACTCTTTCACCCTCCTTATTTGTCCTTACCATGAATGTGTTATCTAGAATGCTCAACTTGGCAGCTGCAAGGGGTATGTTCGACTTTCACCTTAAATGCAAGAAGATTGGTCTTACACACTTAACATTTGCTGATAATTTGTTGATTTTCTGCAAGGGAAATATAGATTCTATAATTGGAGTCATTAGTGTTTTAGATCAATTCTATGATATGTCTGGTCTCAAACTCAATGCATCCAAAAGTGAAATTTTTGCTGCTGGAATCTCTTCAAGAACTTTAGATGATATTAAGTAGATTTCTGGATTCAAATACGGTAACTTGCCTGTGAGGTACTTAGTTCCACTAGTCACTTGCAAGCTCTTCGAGAAAGACTGCGATATTCTAATTGAGAAAATTAAAGCAAGACTTCATCATTAGGCAGGAAAGACTCTGAGTTATGCGGGCAGACTTGAACTCATTCGTTCTGTTCTGTTCAGTGTAGTGAATTATTGGTGTACACAACTAATCTTTCCACAATCTATCTTAAAAAAGATTGATCAACTATGTTCCCGATTTTTTTTAGAAAGTAACAGATAAAACTGCTTCTGGAGCTAGGATCAGTTGGGAAAAAGTCTATCAATCAAAGTCATAATGAGGGCTAGGATTGAAGAATACTAAATCCTGGAACAAAGCTTGTCTTTTGTACCTTATTAGGAAAATTCTCTCGGTAGAAGGCTCATTATGGGTTGCTTGGCTAAAAGAATATGTTTTGAAGGAGACAAACTTTTGGAACCTGCAAATTTGACCTAATGCAAGCTGGTGCTTTAACAGATTACTAAAATTACGGACTGAAGCTTATCCTATAATTTCTTCTGGTGTTACATAGATTAGAGATATCTGGGAAGAGATTCGGAAGAAAGGGGAAAAAGTTCTATGGCAGAGATTGATTTGGTTCCCTCTTCACATTCCAAAACATAGCTTGGATGGCTCACTTGGACAGACTTCCTACAAGAGATAGACTCCAAAGAATGGGAATCATTACTGAAGGTAATTGTGTCTTCTACAACACTGCAATGGAAACACGGGATCATTTATTCTTCCACTGCCCATTGGTTGTTTCTATATGTGATTCTATAATGTGTCTTAATGGGTTGAGAAGAACTACATCGTCTTAGGATGAAATGGTAACATGGGCAAGTGGTGTTTGGAAAGGTAAATCCCTTCTCACAACTATTTTGAAGCTTGCTTGGTGCGCTTTTATTTATACCTTGTGGGAGGAAAGGAATCGAAGAATATTCAAAGGTTGTTCCCGAGAAACTGAAGATCTTCTTAATATTATTAAGGAAATCGTAGGTATACAATTAAAAGGAAAAAAATATCAATAGACTAGAAAGTATTAATTTTACTCTTTGTAATTCATGGGTAATACCAGAAGAGGCTCTCGCATAAGGTGTGGGCACGGCTTATTCATCCCGAGCTATCACAGAAGAAGTCTTCAGTTAAGGCATGGGCACGGCTTATTCATCATGAGTTATCGCAGAAGAAGTCATCAGTTAAGGCGTAGGCACGGCTTATCCATACTGAGCTATCGTAGAAGAAGTCTTCAGCTAAGGCGTGGGCACACCATCTATCGGCTCAGTTCAGTGTTTTTTTGTTTCATTTTTTTCGTTAATCATTTTTTTGGATTGGGTTTCGATTATTTTTTTGGATCAGATTGGATCTGATCACATTTATTTGATTTTGAAGCAGACTCGGCTTCTTTGGGTAATAAAAGAATTTTATTTATCCAAAAAAATAGAGGTATGAAATTCAGAATTATACCTAGATTTATTTTATTGCGCTGATTAGCCTGGTAATAATAATAAAGAAATAGAAAGCCGCGTTTTTAGCGAAAGAAAGAGGAAAGAGAGGAGAGTTAGGTGGCAAGCACTCAGCAAGCACGATGGTTCTCAAAAACAGTACACACCAGAAATAACTACAAAATCTAATTTTAAACATTTATACAACACCCAACACACAGCTGCTTCTTATATTCATCATCTTTACCACCCATTTCCTTCAATAATCTAATTAATATCTCTCCAACACTGGCACTTGTTCTTTCTCTTCCCTTTCTTATGTTGATTGCTATTTATGTTTAGATTTTTTTGGCAATTTGGTATTTTTTTAGCTTTGGAAAAGGTTTTTTTCCGGAAGGGGAAAAGAGGTCTCACTTCCAAATAATTCTTTAGTGACTGGTTGATAAAAAATGTAGTTCGAGGAGTCGCCACCAATCATTGATTAGGGTGTGATTGGGCACCCAAAAACATATTTTCCATTTTAATAAAATATTAACTTTAATTAAAACGACAAACTTACGTTATGCGTTACCAAAATTCGAATTCGGGAGTCGGTTACGTGTGGGGAATGATTAACACCCCCACAACGCCTTAAATCGGTACCTAGTCGATTAATTAATTGTCTTTGCAATGACATTTATGAGTTCGAGTATAATTTAATTTAAGATCCCCTAAAAATAATT